CATGCAGTTAGTTTAATGCCACAACATGTGATAAATTCTCCCATCATCATTAAAAAACTCAAATAACTACCTGGCAATTTTTTCAAGATTGTAATGGATTTGTAATAGGGGTGTAATGATTCTAATTTGAAATAACGCATTTAATGCTAATTTAAAATTACACGTTAACAATTGCTGTGTAGGATCACACACACACATATGACAGGGCTGCGATTCCAGGTTGCCTGCGACAAGGCCTCGCCTGATATGAGAGGTACTCGTTGGCCTCGGCACAAACAGGGGGTTAGTGACCCCACACACACACACTCACACATACACGCACACACACACATACACACAGATAACAAGGGAGGCCAACATTCCATCTTTTATGGCCCAAAGATTTTGGGACCTACAGACAGCAGAATGTATCTCAAGGACAGGGGTCCCTCAACTTGGCACACAACCCCCTCCCTTTCCATCCTGTCTTAGGGCATTTTTCCACCGCACCAGGTACCGTACTTTCGGTACTTCCATAAAGTGCCGAAAGTTTGGTACTTCTTTCATGTCGGTTTTCCACTGGCGTAAAAAATGGTACCGGCGCCAAATGACATCATCAGTGACCGCCCCTCACTGACAGCCCAAAATTAAAACTAACAGTTGAGGCTGGTTTATTGTTATGTCAGCTTCTATCACAGTATAAGATTCAGTAAAATCCAAATCATGCGGCCATCAATTACGTTTACGTACTGTAGGTACACTTACTTTGGCTAAGCCGATCAAAGAAGTAAGAATTAGCTTACTGCTAATTCAGTCTTTTGAAAGCAAACAAATTATTTAATTATGTTTTTTGATTTTCAAGTGGCATTGTTCTGTGTTTCGCGTGTGCCCCATTTCTTCCAAGCGGCTTGGTATTACGCTGTTCCGGGCAATTAAGTTTCCCTATATTTCTCCTGTCTATCAGGAAATAATGTTTCCCCTAATATTAAAGCAAAGAGGTATGTGAAATGTCTGAAAATCACACAGGTACATTATTACATGTGAATACAGTAGATCGTCACGCATAATATAGTCTTATAAGCAATACTATACCG